TTGCAAAAGTCCTGCAGCCAAAGAGGAGAGAGTGTATTGTGTTGGCTTTACTTCTTCCACCTTTTTGATAGCTTTTCCTATCAATTTTCTTCATGTTTATTTCCCTTCAGACTGCATGGAATGAATGTAGGAGCTCCCTATTGGTATTTTATTCATATTCTTAAATTTTCAGTGTGGGAAGTGGCAGCTCTGATTTCTGTATAATGAGAGCAGCTGAAGAAATTCTGCCTGTCTGAAAAATACAAGCATATGTCAAAGGACTTCTGATCTATGGGTTAGTGGTGAGAACTGTTACTATGATATGGAACCATCACTTCCAAGTGAGACTAGTATTATGTTGGTGGTAAAATTTAATTATTGCATGCTATGCTGTGTGTTTTGGAAATGGTATGCAAAGGCAAATGGACAGCTTAATTGTCCCATTACACTGAAGTAACATTCATCACTGTAAAGCAAATCCATTTCAATGAAGAATGTCACAGACTGTTTGGCATTGCTCCTGAGATGTAGCTTTTCAGTGTATTCATTTGAATTTTACTCTGTCATTCAAATCTGTTGCCAATGGTTATTTCAAGTTATGGGAGAATAAAGGAATTAAATTTCCCCAACTTTCTGCATGTATTTCATGCAGCCTTAGTTTTCTGATTATGGAAAATAAAAATATAAATATAGTTAATGCACATATTTGTGTATGTTAAATTTTAGAGAAGAGTTATCATTACATTTTTCCAAGAAAAAGAAGTAATTCAAAAACTTATACTCCATTCTTTCAGAAATTAGAGTTTTTGATCTTGCTTTTCACTATGTGTTTGTGTGTGTGTTAGGGGATACCTGTTTAACATTCTTCAAAACCAGGCTATTTCTTGTATGGCTAAACCATACAACTGTTTTTTTTTTAATATCTTTTAAAAAATACATTTACTCTGTTGTGCATGTAGAGCATGCTTAGTTTTGTTGTATTCTGCCAGAATTAGCTTGTGTTATTGCATTACCCACTCTTCTGAATGAAAAAACCTGTTAATGACTTCCCACTGTTTTTTTTTTTTTTTCTTCCTCAGAGTAAGATCTAATCTAGCTGTCCTAGTTGACAGTATAATTACAATAATTCTCTAAGTGGAACATATGTAAGGACATAAAGTCAGTGTAAAATAGAACAAGGAGGTATAGTTCAGAATACTTGAGCTTTATCCATCTTTTTTTGATACAATCTTCATCGAGTCTTTTTCATTGGAAAAATGGAAAGTGAGATGTGAAGAGTTGTGACTTTCATTTTAGAATCAACCAGAAATATACCATCCTTTAAATACAGGACAGGTCTGTTACTAAGAGGCAAAGACATCTTCATTTTTATGAAGTTAGAGTAGATTTATGCATCTGCATTTTTTTAATACTACCTCCTGATTGTTTTGTGGTTTTTTTCCTAAAACAAAGTTTTGAGCTAATACACACTTTTCCGCACCAACCAGGTGTAACCCATAACTGATGGGATCGCTAGGTATTGATCTGATGACCTCCTTTGCTGTGCTGTGCTGTTTGATGCTGACAAATCTGTGCTGGCAGACAGTGTCTGTGCAGAGAGGGAAAGCTGTGTGACTGATGTGTGTTAGCAGTACTGCAGAAAGGGGCAGAGCAGAGATCTTTGAAGGGGCCTTTATTTTACCCTTTTGATTGCATCACTAGCACAATTGATGGTTGAGACGGCAGTACCTTGTATCCACTGCTTAGCTTCTGCTTTTTTCTGTGAAGCTCATGTTCCAGTTGCTCTGAATTTAAGCATCTGTCCCTGGCATGATACAATAATTTCCTTTAGTAAGGACTCCTTCCATACCTTTTTTCCTTTCATACCTGACATCTCACCTGTGTCTGTGGCCAGGAGAGACAATGCTGACATCTTTAAATTCTTTGCTCTCTCCTGCTAGGCATCTTGTTCACAGTCTTCAGGGGGATGCCTGAAAATTGAGGTTAAATGGGAAGCTTGCAGTTTAAACTAGAATGGCTTGTTATCTTCTGTAAGACTTTTGGAAACTTTGAGTATAGTGTGAGGCATGTGTATTTTTTTATCTAATAGAAGGAAGGAGAAATTTCAGACAATGTTATTTGTTTAATACAATATTAGGGCAGTTGGGAATGTGGACAAGGACTCTTAGGAGGGAAGTGGGTTGATTCCTTTCCAAGCAAGGGTATATTTTCACCTTGCCTGTGCTTTGATACTCAGTTTTAAATGGAATTATTCAAGATGCATTTACCACTGACAAATTTTCATTGTTTCTTGAGCTCATCATTAGCATCTGCTCTGCTGTACTGTTGATGCTCTGTTTGTCTCAAAAGATCATGTTATTCTAACTTAAGCAAACAGTTCAGGTGCATTTTTTCATACGATATTGGGAGCAGTTATAAAATTCAGTTACAGAAGAAAAGTCCTTCCCCCTGGGAATATAGAGGAAGGTTTTAAGGCACCAGCATGGATTCAAGACCTTACTAGTGTTAGAAGGCTCCTGAATTTTTCTCTTTTTTCTCATCTAGCTCTTCTTTATCTGTTTATCTGCTTGGATTTTATTATAAACTGTTTCCTGCTTGCTGTAGTACTTTTCTAGCTTGCTTGAAATACCATTTAGGCAAAATGTCACATTCTCTTGAAAAATATCCTGACTGTCTGGCCCACACTAGAGTACTCACAATTTTCCACTGAAACGCCCGGTGGTCTTGGGTGCCACATATGACCAAACAAACATGAAAGTTCCTATTTAGGGATTGCTATTAGGCCAAGTTAATTCCTCAGGCTCTTTCATGTTGTATTTTGACCACTCAAATAATGCTGAGATGTAAAAGCACTAGATGACGGAATACGTACCTTTCTCTCATATTTTTTTAAAGACGCCCCATTACCACAATAACAAAATAATTAATTTTGCATAAGTAGGTATTATAAGAAATTTCACTAGTAATGTCTTGGTTTATGTAGGTCTACAAAAAGAAGCAGGAGAGCTGATGATCTTAATTAAGAAAACCTGAAGTATCAGGTCCAAAATTTTCATATCTTTCACTCTAGTATTATTTGGACTGAGACTTAGAAAAAACAGCTGATGAAAGCACAATGGGAAAAGGGGAATTTCCAATTTGTATTGTAACAGGGAAGCTGCAAAGAAATTGTCAGCTTGTGTCTGTTCTCTACCGAACTCTGTATAAATAACTGCCAACACTGGACCTCTCACAAGTGCATGGCTAATTCAAAAATTTTTTATTCTTACTTCAAGGTCTGTCGGATGAAATGGGTTTTAAAACGGTGCTTCAAATTACCACTGCTCTACCATGGCACCGTATTTCCTTCTGAAAGGTTTCTTAAGCTAGCAGCACCGTAGTAATTAAGAACTAACAAAAATCATATTAAATAAATAAATGGAGTAGGGTAGGGCAAAAGTGAGTGAAGTGTCTTTTTAGAATAACCTGTTAGTCTTGAATATTTTAATTCAAATTTAGCATGCAGCTGTCCCCTTTTCTAGAATGGTGTGGGGGAAAAGGGGGGAAAATGCAAGTTGTGGTAGTTTGGTAGGTGCACTGAGAGCAATCTAAGTCTCTTATGCTTTGGATATTCCTCAAAATAAAAACAGGTAATTACTTGGCTATTTGCATTTAATGTTGAATTGATTTGCTTTACTAGGCACTGCCCTATCATGATGAATATGTTTTCCTAAAGAGGAGGACCAGATGAAGCAATTTAAAATCCCTAAGTCCTTCTCTTCAGCTTGCATTTTCCTCTGTCTTCACACACAAAGGGATGATGTCTCTTCTCTCAGTTCTGTATGACAGCTTCTTCAGCAGTATATTTGTTGTTGACCTTCATCAGCACTTAGTTTCTCAGGAATTTACTTGTCGCTGTAGGTCTTTTGTAGTTAATAGAATGAAAAGGCCTGGAAAATGAGCTAATGGCATTGTCAGGATAGATGCATTGATAGCCTGATCCTCAATGCAAACATATTCTGAGTTACTGTGGAAATAATATGTAATCCTCAGCTACTCTGCATTATCTTGTCATGGAGTTTCTGGCAGGCAGGTTAGAGGTCACTCCAGTCTCTGTGAGAGCTGTGTTTTTCCAGGCAGGATGGAGAATGATCTGAGCAGTGCCAGGAAGTTAAGGACAGAGATAAATCCTTTTCAGATTTCCATTTGCAAAGAAATATTTAGGAGTAATGATAATTTATGTGATAAATATTAAATATTATTCTGACTGAACAGTGCCAAAGGGCTTGTTTATAGATTTAGGAAGATGCAATTTGTTCTTCACTGTGCCAACAGTAGGAAAATAGGAATATTTGTGAGTGAGTGTGTGTGTGTGTATGTATGTGTGAATACTGGTGTTGTAGTTTGACACTGGCCAAATGCCAGGCATCCATGAGAAGCGCTAGCTCAGCCTCCCCTGCCACAGTTGAGCAAGGAGGGAAAAGGGGAAAAAAATAATGAAGGCTTCATGAGTGAGACAAGGACCTTATTTCAAGGGTAAAACAAGCTCAACTTTTTAGTTGCAAAGTGAAATTTATTACTAACAGAATCAGGGGGGGATAATGAGAAGTAAAGTAAGCCCTTAAAGCACCATTTCCCCTCAGCCCCTCCCTCCTTCCTTAGGATATTCCAGTGACATTTCCACCAATGGGAAGATGTACACTTTGCATTCCAAGGGACAAAACCACTGGAACTAAATTCATTGTTCCTTTGTGTCAGTGCTTCCACTAAGGCAATGGTACTACTCAGATTTTGGTTACACCCCAGGGAAAGAGCCATGGTAGTGGCTCTCCTTATTCTACTCATCACTCTTCTCCTGTTTGCATCATATAGAGCTGAGAATGAGACAGCTCTTTTCCCTCTGTTCGTGTTTCAATTCTGTGATTATGGAATATAGGTGGGCTTTTGATGCAGGAAAAGTTGACTATCTTGTGCTGTCACTTGCAGCCATAATACTATCTTTAAAAAAAAAATTACATTTCTATTAAAAATTTTCATTTTAGGGTAAGATGGTGAAAGGAATGGGGGGTGCAATGGACCTAGTATCCAGTGCACAGACCAAAGTGGTTGTCACCATGGAGCACTCAGCCAAGGTAAGGCTCTGGCACCTCTTTCTAAATCAGTGTCTTGTGCTGCACAAAAGACAAAAAAATTAAACAGAAAAAAGGGACATATTCATTCTGCTACTTTGTGAGGATTTGACAGTTTTGCTGTTAGTTATTATGGTGATGCAACTGGAGGCTAGATCAATATGGCTCCTTTCCTTTAATAAGTTAATCATTCACCATGGGAAAAAAAAATGAAATATTAACTTCATGTTTAAAAGCTGCGTACATTTTTTTAGCTACTTCATGCAAATTTAATGGGGGTAGCCATTGCCAAAGTATAGTAGATACTACTCTACTCTTTACCTCAGAATAATTTGAAAAATAAGGTTTCCCATGGTTAAATTCTTGTTATGGTGGAAAGATATTTACCTTTGAAGTTGCCAGTCAAATTGGTACTGACAGCTTAATAGAATATATTTTTTGGCACTATGGAATGCAGACTGCCTTTCATCATTATATGTAAGTGGTTAATCTAGAGACTTCTTTATGAGGGCATTGATGTAGTATATGCTCTAGATAGAAGTTCCCTCCAAAAGATCATAGGAAACTTTGCATTTGAAACTTCTAACACAGGAAAAAAAAATGTACTGAAGGAGAAAAATCACTATCCCAAATGTTTAACAATTTACTTTTTAAAAAAACAGTGTTTCTGTTATTCTAAATTTATAATATGTCTGCAACAAGAATTAATTTTGTAATTTCCAAAGTAATATCTCTTGTCAGAATTTGCATGGTAAACTGTAGTAAATATGCAAATATGAGAGTAAATATATTAACAGTTGTGTGTTTCTAAGTGAGATTTGAAGAATTAATTTTCACTTGAAAATAAAAGCAATAAGGCATTGTAGTTTCACAGTTTATACTAAACAGTGATCTCAAGGGGCACATTTTGAGTAACAGGGCTAAGTTTTACCTGATACTTGTCATGTTCATATGCATAAGTAAGTAAATGAAAGTATTAAATTAATTCATCTTCATGGCTTGCGTCACTATCACACAGCCTCCCAAAAAGTGTAGTAACACAGGGAATTACCCATTTCCTCAGACACACACTTTAGGTATTGATGTGACCTGAATAAATACTTAAGCTAAATGCCAACTAACTGTGGAATTTGTTTAAGGCTTGGAGTCCACACACAATATAATCAAACCAGTTTTTCTCCTAAAGGTACTATTGCTAAAATATTTTTCCAAAACAGTGTTTGGAAATTGTTTGCTGGGTTGATTTTGTTTTGTCTGTAGGAGTACTGAAACAGGAAAAGAAGGAAAACAGAGATAGGTTCACTGTTGTGAGCAGGTCAGGCATAGAATTATTTATTTTAGTGTTTGTATGCCTACTTTGTCCACTTTTGTGCACGTTGTGCCTGGTGTACACTTCTGCAGTTACAGGTTTTCATAAATAATGTCTTTTGCTTTTGTGCCAAGGCACTGGTAAATTAACAACAGGCAATATTTTTCTTTTATTTGTATTTTAAAATGGCACTTTTTCCTATTATCTAGCCTCTTTCTGGGGTCTTCATGTCAATGCTTCTTGTTTGCTCAAATGTGAAGGTTATGTCCCATAGAAATCTTGTGTTTTGAGGGCAAAACTGCTGTTGGAGTTTTCAGGTGCTTTTTATTTTTCTTTTTATTCTTTTTTTTTGAATAGTCAAATAAATATAGCACCCATGAGGCCAGTTCTGAAAGTCAAAAGCCTTTTGTTGGAGGTGACTCTGTCTTCCAGAGTTGATTTTCTACTCATGGCTTTTCAATTCTTTACACTCAATATTTTATCAAAAACTTATACATATGAATGTATGCATCAGAGGAGCAGTCCTGCATCCTGCCTGAAGCCCAACGTGCTACTGAGTGAAAGAAGCGTTTGCATGTACTTAGACAGTCTCTTGTGTCTGCTGGCTCTTTAGTAAAGGGACGTTTCTGTAATCTTATTCTCCAAAAAAATAAGAACTCTGCCATCGGACATGAAAATTTCCTGTAAATCAACAGCAGTCAAGATTTGATGAATAGAAATATAGTGGAAGACATGGGGTATGGGCAGTACCTCCAATGAACATGTTCAAGAGGTGCTGCAAGAAGTAGTTATTGCGCTAGTTTTGTCTGATTTATGATCTTGTGAAGGATCTTCTAATCCTTTTCAAGTTTGCTTGTTTGTTTTATTTTAATAATACTGATGACTTGTTAAACATTAAACTCTGATATGCAGTATGTTACAAATACAAATAAATATGCTCAGTCCCAAGTTAATTACATTTTAAATTACTTAAGTTTTTACATATAATGAAAACCAAAATATACAAAAGATAGATGAGACAACATGAAATCAGTATTGTAGAAGACTCATCAGCTTAAGAACTGCTGTTGAGGAAGGGTAATGGACAAATACACAAAATGATGAGGCAATGGAGAAGGTGGATGCAGAATTACCACTGCCTCATAAACAAAGTAGGGATAACTGACTGAAATTAGTTGAAACAGGAAGAAACACTTTCCACAGCCAGCTAATAAAGTTGTGGATGATAGCAGAATGATGCAAAAATCTCAAGGAATTAAGTCTATATAGAAGGGACTAAACTATTTTATGAGGTTGAGTTCATCAATGACAATTAAATATCACTGCCTGGAAACACTCTCTGCCTCAGAAAATCTGTGCATTGCAGCATTATCAGGAACCAAGAGTGCATATTTGCAGAACGATATTTCAATTTTTGTTCTATACGCTTAGGCCACTGAGAGACACTTGGCAAATGGACTTTATGTCAAATTCATTAGTTTTTCTTACTGTATTTTTTCTAAACTACCTCTTCTTTCATACCCATGAAGAAAAGAATAATATAATATAAGCTTGTTATTTAATGTCTAAACAGTCCCTGTGCATTTGTGTCTAATTTGCTTAATACTGCCTGAGAGAATTAGAAGTCCTTACCCCCATACCATCATTGACATGTTTTGCTAAACATGGTAATGTAAGGGCTGGTAATTGTTCCATGTTGTGAAATGAGTTGCCTACACTGTTCAGAAAAACAGAATGGAGACTGGTTTTAAGCACTTGATGTGGGCACAACTGAAACATAGAACACTGAAGTGAAAATTCCTTTCTGTGGAAAGCTCTGATTGCAATGTGTTGTGGAAGACTAAGGACATTTTTGTTCTTCAGCAAATTTTTAATTTAAAGCAGAATGGAACACCTAAGGTTTTATTTGTCTACCCAATAATATTTTCCTTTATCTGAACAAATCCTGAATAAATCAGAATAAATTCAGATGGTAAAAATCATGCAGTTCCATTTAAATTGCTCTTCTTACAGTGCCCTGATGGATGTCTTCCAGAAGTCACAGAATCTTTTAGGTTGAAAAAGGCCTCTAAGATCATTGAGTCTAACCTTTGAAAAGATCAGGAAATGCATTTAATCTTTAAAACTAGCTGGTGGTACAATAATCTTCAGCTCAAGTGTTAGAAGCTCAAATGTATCAGTTCTCAGGGTCACAGGAACCAGGCTGTCACTTCTGTAAGTCCATGCCTTCAACCTTCAATTAGGTACCACGAAGAGACACTTCATTTCACATGACTGAAAAGTATATCTGATATGTTACTGAAGACAGTACAAATAGCATAGATTCATCTTGGCTCTTAGGCAAATTGCACAAGGACATTCTCAAGATGGACAGGATATAAAAGTAGATAAATTGAAAGTAACTAGAATGAAGAAATAGTTCCTCACAGAGGAAAATAAATTCAAAAGCACATGATTGCTCATTGCGTTATCGCTCAGACGTCAAACTGGCTGTGAGATGGCCCCTAATTAAGCCTTAAGGTAAACTGATGATTCTAAATAGTTAAATGAGACATGTTATACTCTGCGAGTTTTGAAATGCATAACTGAAAATTGATAATTAGTCAAAAAATTAAAAGCATGGCATAATGAGAGAAGTGTGCACTTAATGCTACTTCTGTAAAACACTTACAAATACTGACCAAAAAAGTAATGATCCATCTGCCTTATATCCATTCATTGCTCTTGCAGCTTACATTGACTTAGTATGATCTAGAGGCATTTTTTAAATATTTTATTTTAATTAAGAAGAAGAGAGGAAAAAAAGACAAGGACTTCCCCACAGACAATATGGATACATAAACTGGGTTTACTGTTTTGAGAGCATGACTATGCACTTGAACTCTGGGGATCTGAAGTTCCTCTGTGTGTGGCTGATCCTTGCACATATGATTTGTGACGAAAGATAAGACAGGGAAACATGTTGCCATGGTGTTGTTCCCTAATTTTTGTCCTCACATCAGTGAGGTTCCATATATCTCTTGTCCTCACATTGTAGCAGGAAGGGCAGACTATTAAGCAGCAGTGTGCAGGTCTTCTAAACTCTACAGTCCACTCAGTGGTACAATAAGATTCTTACTAGTCAGCCGCTGAAGAGAATTTGAAGAGTGTTCTGAGCACATTGAATATTTAAATAACAGTGAATGGCTACAGCTGCAATTTTCATGATCATAATTGAGTTTTTTAAAAACTGATATTTGTATATTGTTAAACACAGGGAAATGTCCATAAAATCCTGGAAAAATGCAGTTTACCACTTACTGGGAAACAATGTGTTGACCGCATCATTACAGAAAAGGTAAAGTACTTTTCTTGACCCCTTGTTAATAATTTCCTCCTCTATCCCTAATAACAATAGCAAAGCTTAGCAAAAATGAAGAATATATTCAGTATCTGTTGTCACTGTAGGGAAAAGATGGCCTTGGAGTTCAGATCCAGAGGTCTTGGGCTCATCTTTTTCCTTTTAAAGTTTTGACATCTAGCATACTGAACTGTGCCCTTAGATGCCTTCAGAACAAAAGATGCCACATATAACAGGCATGAAAAGAGTGTATCTTGTTTTTCCCCAAAGAATTTCTGAAAATTTGATGTTACATGTCAGTTTTCTAATATGGCTGTAATTACAGCTTAGGAGGCAAAGGTGTGTTGTTTGCTTTTGTTAGGGTTTTTTGTTTGTTTGTTTTTGTCCTTTCATTTTGTCTGGGGCTTTTTGCCCAGCAGAGCACACATAGGTCGGACAATTGGCATCTTCTTTCATGTATACTACATACTGTTTCAGAGAAAACTGTGGCTGTAGCAGAGCTTTAGTTCTTTTGTCCTTACTTGATTCCATTTGTTGAAGCAATTTATTCTCTAGTGGAAGTGCATATGAGCATCTCATACTGTTGCTGCTCAAAGTACATTAGTGGATCTTTTCAGCAAAAGATAAGTGACTTAAAGTTTTTTTCCTGTAATCATACTCCTTTTATTTTTGGTGTTTACATTTTTAAGGACTTAGAGTAGTCCCTCTGTGAGCCAAGTAGAATGCATTAAAGCTGCTGATGAAGAATTTGATTTCTCATGGTGGGATATTGCTACATCTAAAGCAATAACTTTAGAACTTTCTTCACAAAGTAAGGGAAGATATATTAAAATATGGAAGTTTTTGTTTTTGTTTTTTTTTTTTAATTAGCCTTCTACCAACTGGCCACATTCAATTGTAGGGTACAAAGAACATGGGAGGGAACAAGAACTAAAAGAAAATAAACAAGTAGACATGTCTCTAATATTTATCAATTACCAGATCTCATGGCTCTATTAGGAAATGATACAAATTTGGAACAACAATTGGATAGTGTTACAAATTCTGTTTCCATACTAGCATCCTGGAGTGTTCCCTATGCCCAGCTTCTCTTTTAAGACTTAAAGAAGCTGTCCTTTTCCAGTTCCATAAAGAGAAGTTTAATGTGCCCAGAGGACAACTAGGCTTCAGAACACTTCTGTGACAAGCTTATGACTTCACTTTCATTTCAAGTTCAAGCTTTGCTGGTCTTTTGCTCCTAAACTTTTTTTTTAAAGGAAAATTACTTTAGACTTTATGGTTTCCCTGGCAACTAGATTGCAACCTGTGTATCTCCCTCTGGTAGGCACTATTAAAGTGCACATTGTTTTACAGGTATTTTTATTTGATGCACTTGTAAGTCTCAGAGGTGGAGTGCATATCTTATATCTTCTGTCATCAGACAGAACAGCCTTTGCTCCTTCAGCCTCTTCCTCTTAGGCTTTATTTTAAAAATACTGCAGGAATCTTGTCTTTAACTGCTAGCTTCTAAAAGTTCTAGTATTTGCATTTGGTATGCAATAGCTGTTGGAGAAACTTACAGTCAGCCAAAGATGATCTCCCTACTGGATAAAATGAAATGAAATAAAAGAATGGGGAGACATTCTCTTCCCCTGTTTCCTTTGTGGTCTCTTGGTGGATGTTGTCTTGCAGCAAAGAACATCTCAGCCCTTTCCTTTGAACATCCCATTCTCACCAGATTGGAGCAGCAGGCATGGTCTACATTTCCTGCAGTGATGAACAGTTTCACTTTTACCCCACAAAACTAACACATACTAGATTCTAGATATTTTAACACATTCTAGATTGTTGCTCTGATTTTTTAAAGTGTTAAGTTTTCTTTTGTAGTTCTTTTGAAAGTCTTAAAGTTCTCATAAAACTTCTTCAGCCTTCTGATCTGCTTACATATTTCTACTAGAGTTCTCACACAGTTCATGTAAAAATTGGTTTACTTTCTTCTTTGTGGGAAGAAAGAATTGATGGACTGTTGGTTTAACCAGTGTGGCTGGAGAAGTAGTAATTCCACTCTCCAATCCATGGTCATCTCTGGAATTCTATAAATATCAGATGCTTAAATAAAAGGCTCTCCTTTTTGGCCTTTGAACTTGCCAAGAGTTTGTGTACTTACTTTGTGTCCAATAGCAACACTAGATTCTCTTTCTCAGTACAAATAAATGTAGCAGAAACCTGTATTAGTCAGTCATGAAAGTGAAAAGTGGGATCTTGTCTTACTGAAGGAATGCTATCTATTTCAGCACACCATTTTGTGAAATGTTACTGCATTTACATCCTCATTTTCTCTTTTAATAATAAAAAAAATTATGTGCTTTTTGAACTTAATAGGCAGTGTTTGATGTGGACAAGAAGAAGGGATTGACACTCATAGAAATCTGGGAAGGACTGACAGTAGATGATATCAAGAAAAGCACTGGCTGTGACTTCGCAGTAAGTAGTTTTACAAACCAGTACAGTTTGGAGTCAGAACAAATATTCTCCACAAATACTTAACACATGAAGGCTTGTAGTTGAATAAGTTTCATCTTTATAGGTGAAGACTGAATAGATTACATGTGGGATTTACAATGAAAGATAATTTGGAGCTAATATAGTGTGATGATATTGAAAGCATCAGAAGCTTGGAAAACCAGGAGAGATGGAGAAATAACTTAGAGTAAAAAGACAAATGGAAAGGAAATTTCTATGCATTGAAGATGGGAGCTGATTCATCTCTAAGACATGGATAAATATTTATTTTTTCACTGTATAAGCTAGTTTACCTGCTAAGTTTCCATGCTATCTTTAGGTGGAGTTGTGAGTCTTCTTGACAGGAGTGACTACAGTTGTGCCCTCTGTGTTAAACGTGACAATCAATGAACTGCTCTAAGACTAACTTGTACAAATTGAACTTGTGCTCTGCATTAATCCAGAAAGCCCCTGTCTTTTGATATTCACATTCATTCTTAAGTCTCATTTAATGCAAACACAAAACTGCATAATTAATGGAAAGCTGTACCCCTCTAGAGTGTAACTGAATGCATGTGTGGTTGATAATATAGCTTCTTCTTGGCCTGTTCCTACATCAACATTTCAAAATATTTTCTTCTGTGTTGTGAAGTCTTTTGGGGCAGTTCAACCAACCTTTGGCAAGGGCAGCAAGTATGACAGTGTAAAAACTGTGCTGTAAAAATAGTTCAGGTATATTTATTAATGAAGTAAAATACTCCTTTTTGCAGTGTTTCATGGCATGGCTATGGCACCTAATTGACAGACTGCAGAACATTTAGTATGTGCAAGGGTTTTTTATTATGGCTTTGAGCATATCTTGGTAGTAAGGAAACTTCCTGAGGAATGAACCTGTGAAATTTCATTTATTTCCTGTGTCCATCAGACAGTATTTCTGATAACTAAATATTATTATGTATGTTTCTCCTTAGGTATTTTAAATAGAGGTCTGTTAGCTGCTGAAAGTACCTTTAATTATCTGAGGAAAAGATGTTGGATTAAAGACCAGTAGCCTGCAACTGCAAAGTGCAGGAAGCTGTTACAGAAGTAGCAGGGAAGTCATTATTATTTTTTCAGTTAAAATGGAAGCAACCTTCCATATACGGCAGTTCTGTGTGGAAATGAAATTATTCATTCAGCTTCTGACTTTGATCTAGTAAAAAATGATCAATTTTTTATAACTTTGATAATGTCAGGTCTTCTTTTCCTTGGGCTGATCTGTCTGTCAAGCAGCTAGCATCCATAAGTAAAACATTAAAATTATCTTTATAGGTTTGTATCTATTCGCAGTCAGTCACTTTGTTTTGTTCTTTTGGATTTAATTTGGGGAGCAACATCGTGATGAATTTGAAGATGCAATGTTTAGTAAGCATTTAAATAGATGTAAACTACAGCAAAGGACTTCTGTTTTCAGAAAACACTGAAAACACTCCTTACTTGTTCCAAAGCTTCTTGTTTGAAAGGACCTGGGTTTTTTTTGGTTGAGATGACCAAGAGATACCTATTCAATTCAGTGGTGTTTCCCAAAGTAAAGGCCAGCTGCCTATGCTCAAGGCAGTGAAAGCAGAAGGAAACAAAAAATTCAGAGAAAGAAGTGATATGGTTAAAATGATGGGCCATGAGGTTAAGCTTTGCAGCAGGTATGACACAGGGCAAGGCAATTAGGTCCAAAGAAAAGATTAATACTACCCACTGTTCCTTGGTGCTTTCCTGGAAATGTTACAATGGAGTGATATAAACTTCAACTCTTTAGTGTAGCCTGAAGTTAGGAGTTGATGAGAGGTATTGGAACCATTCACTGTCCGGCTCCCTGGGATGTGTCTGTAAGATCAGGAAGGGACCCTTCACAGGCATTGTTTCCTAGTTCTCCAGAAAGCAAATTCCAGCACAGTCTGCTTCGTTTGGCTGCCACAGTCACGCATGAAATCACAAGCAGTTGGCATGAAAAATGTAGTTACTTCTTGATTTAGGCATTTACATTTACTTACCTTGAAAGCAGTGGCTTGCATAAATGCTTGCAAAGCAATGCTTGTTTGCAAAGTGTGTGCCTCTGCCAGAGCACATGCACTTACGGCTCCTTACAAAAGTGCCCACAGTTCCTACAGCACTGCAGATTGAAAGCATGACATGAACCTCAATTATTTGTTTGTTAAACCTGTGGCATGGAAGCGCACTAGCCCTTTCTTTCTTTTTTCCCCCCACATCCTGTAAAGAATGTTTCCAGGCCATAGTGTCCCAATCCTGCTGTCATTGAAATCCTTACCAAATCTTCTGTGGAAATCTTTGACAGCAAGACTGGTTGCTGTTATGTAATATTGGACCCTTGATGGCCTGAATTACATATATAGCAAACAACTACAGGTTCTTTGCTTAGTTTTGAATTTCATAGAATAGGAATTTGAACATAGTGATAGGCTGTTATTCGGACTGCAGCATCCTTAGTCCTCTTTTTTTCACATTTCAAAACTCTGCCTCGGGCTTTCTTGCAAGAGTAACAGTTGTGCTTGTGATTATTTATGTTCACTGAATGAGACATCTTAGGTTTATTTATATCGGTGACAGGAGCTTTGGTGATCCTGTATTGCCACACTAAAAGCAGGATCATATATTTTTCTAGTTTGAAACAGAACTAATTAGGGGAAAATGAGGAGTCAACCCTTTTTCTAGTTGCTTTTTTTCCAGTAGATGCAGTGTATGAGCTGAACTAAAAATAAATGTCTCTTTGAGTTCATTAGAAATGAGATTTTGAGATTACTACATCTTTAAATGTAACTGTCGCACCCCATGTAGACTGTTCCTGTTTGGAGAGGAGAACTTCATAGTCTATATGGCCATATTTGAGACACATTTGACTATACAGTTCCATTTCACAGCCTGCTTACTTACTTGGAAAAATATCTCCTAAAAAACATTTGCAAAACAAAATGTCAAAGAAAACATGACTTAGAGTCAACTATCTTCATTATAGACTGGCATAATTTAAAAAACAATTTGCCCTCGATTTTACTGTGCTGTGAAAACAAAATGTCGGCTTATTTTGCATGCTTAAATATAATTTGCTGTAGCCTAGCATATAGATCACCTTGGCAGGCAAGCTGTTTGGGCTTGTAGTGCCTTTTACCATTGATGAGCCCATGACAAAACATACTTTTGCAGACGTATTTAGTTATAAAAATAATCAGGATAAGTCACAAATCCCCATCACAACCTTTTTCCCCCCTTAATCTTAAAGCTTGTTTTTTCAAAATGTTCAAAAATAACAGTGTATAGAAAAAGCATCTGCCAAAGCTAGCATATGTTTAAAAAGGTATTGTCTGTCCAAGTTCAACTACTGAGTTCAAAATGATAGAGGATATAGATTTTATTTTCTGGAAGTACATTTTCCTTTGAGGAACATTTTCTTTTTAGGCTGTTGCAAGATTGAGTTGATTATTACATGGACCTTGTGGGCTTTTTTTTTCCTGATCTCTGCTGCAAAAACTATTAAGAAGAGATTTTTGCATCATATATACACATATATATGTGATGTTAGAATTGTGGTTTGCATTTCTCTGAAATGAAAAAATAGGTGTTAATAAGAGATAAGCAACTTTTTTTAATTTAGCAAATAGATATGGGTTTTTTCTGCCTTTTTGTTTTTTTTTTGGAAGGGCTCATTTTAAATTTTTGAACACTAACTTGCTGTTTCTTCCTTGTTAAGGCAAATGGAACTTAACAGGATTCAGCCTTATTCAGAATCAGAACCTGAAGGAATGCTCACTTCATAGAAATTCAATGAAATGAGCATAGGGCTGTTTGTGTAACTGAAAAGGGTACTTTGGGGTTGGAAATCAGAGCTTCAATAGGCTTGGACTGCAACAAGCCCCAGAGCCCATGTGTGGTCTTTCCATTTGAGAGGCCACATACTGGACTGCACAGACAAGCTCCTCCCAGAACACCTGCATGTCCAACATTAGCAAAGTATTTAAAGCTTCCAAGATCAGGTGTTCTTCCTGTAAGTGAATAATATTAAGAGTGTGTTGCTTAGGTGGTGTCATAGAAAGTAGCAATTCTGAAGCTGCGCACTGTGACTAGGGTCTGCATTAAGCCCCTTCAGCGCTTACTAAATGCCTTACTCTTATCACAGAGTGATACTGGATTGACTGTCTCTAGTGGACTCAGAGAGTCTTAAAATGCTTTCTACATTCCAGATTCGATTACTCCTTGTTTCCAAGCACAAACCGTCTGCTTTGTTACACTGGCGTTTTTCTGCGTGTTTAATCACATTTTAGATGCAGCATAAGTTGTGTTTGGGTCCAGTTCTGAGTGGTGCTGTCTCTCACCAACTTCGTTTTCCGGAGCAGACATTATGGCACATCTGACTCACGGGCGTCAGACCCATCTGAAGTGGATAGTGGTACACACAAATGACAGCTGTTAGCGTCAGATGTGCACACACCACATTTAATGTAATATCCTCATCAAATGTAAAACACTTGATATTTTGATGGTACTGAAATCAACAACGTCAGAAAAAATAGAAATCTCTCCAGTAATTGCCTTTGTTGTTGTTTGCAGAATACAGATTTTAGTGCTCCTATCTTCATCTTCCAGCGTTTAGCTTTACTTCAATGGAACCACCCCTGTCTGTGGCACAAATAGGCCCAAATAAAGTGAGGCACATAGTAACTTGGAGTCTGAAATGTTGAAACATTTCTGGAGCTAATCCAGGAATGCTGATGCATTGTACCAATTGCATCTATTTATTATCCTAGTTCATACACAACTTTGAAAAAAATCAATGAATTGTTACTATCCACAAAAAACATTTCATTAGCATTTGATACAGTAAACACATTCTTCATGAACTAAGTTTTGCTCAGTGGTTAGTCTCATAAGGTTATAAATGATGATACATAGTGGCTGGAGGAAAGCTCACATAGAAACCTAAGCAGTACAGAAGATACAGCCCTGTACCTCTAAAAGAAAGAGGCATTAATGCTTGAAAAGGCACTTATTTCATGAGTTAGTTTCTTGAGTACTGTTAACTGAAAAAGATGGGTAAAGGAGGCAGGAGGCTGCAGTAGGTGATGCTTACACAGGGCACATTAATCAGCTAGGAGCCAGATTATCCACAGACTGTTTTTCATCCTGAAAAAGTAAGATCACAGGAGTTATTTCTGATCTTCATCCTGGGGCATCAGATAATTAAAGAGGCTTGAATCTTCTGTGGAGACCTGTTCCTCAGGGGTTTTGTGTAGACCTGAGTGAGAGTTCAAGCAAATGTTAACCACTGCTGCTATTCAAAATCTTCTCTGTATTTTTCCTATTTACACCTTCTTTCCTCATCTATTTTCCTATTTAGGCTTACCATGTCTTATTTTTGGTCTGCTGTACACCTTATAATATCACTAATTGAATTTTGTAAGTAAATGAATTAAAATAATAGAATGTATAAATGTGCCCTTAAACAAAAATTAATGTGAATGGGAAAAGGCAAGGTTTTTTTAAAAAAGCAAAATTGGAATTAATTATTATAATCATTCAATAAATAAAATTGAATGTGAATGGAAGAAAGACATTTAAAAATAGGAAATATAAATTTGATATTGTATTCTATCATCACCAAACAAATAATCCCATCACATGTATCCATATACAATAGTTGCAGAGTGTTTCTTGTAGATGTATACCTTTGATTGCATATCCCCTCCTCACATGCATCTTCCAAAATTCATTTATCTGTTACTGCACAGAAGACTGTACAGGGGACAAGTACAGGTTCATCTGCCCAAGTTTAATATGCTTGCATTCTTACACCAATAACCTATCTCAAAATAAATGAAGCTGAGAGTCTGGATACTAGCACTACACATATATTGTATTCTTGCATCAGAAAATTTAGTTGTAGTAGTTTTTATCTCTGACATACTGCAAATATGGCAGGTTAAATAAGTACGGTGTCTCTAGTCATTATTGGTACATAATAAATACACGTGGAAGTGAATGTTGGGTTGTACTGCTAGACCTTACCTGTATGACAACTCTTGTGGGGTTTTTTTCCTTTCTTTTTGCTAGGTTTCACCGAAGCTAATACCAATGAGGCAGATTTAACTGCGAATTACAGATTGGGCTTAATTTTCAAGAAGGCATGTTTCCAAATGGAAGAAATAGATTACTGTCTTGCAATGTTACTTTTTTTTTTCCATTTTCTTTCTTTTTTTTTTTTTTAAGGGCTCTCTAAGTATTTTCCAGATAGTTAAACTTAGACTGTAACTATAAGCCTAATTGTATTCTGCTTTCATAACATTACCAACATTAATGGAATGGTGAATATATTCTCTAAGTTTTGAATCATGTTATAGTAAGATGTTAAAGATCATTGTAAAAAAGAAAAAAATGCCTTGTAGTGTCTCTGCCAAATACTAGGGGTTTTTTACACAGAATTAGAAAAAAATCATGCAAAACTTGCCTCTGTGTTTGCTGATATCTTTTGCTCTGGAACTATAGCACTTATCATGTCCATTCTCCTGTAAAGGTGTGGGTCTTTTCTGGAGTGATCTGTAACAAATATATGTATCTGTAGAGAGATACTGGGACTATGGATGTTCCTTTTCCTGAACCTTTTCATCAGTCTGTAACAAAATTGTTTAAACCAGTGGAAATAATTGGGACCTAAATATATCTGCTATTTCCACAGTGTGTGTCTGTTGGTATTGAGAGGCATACACCTCCCAAAGTCCAGCTGTGACCCTTCATATTTAAGTCAAACAAACTAGAATAGGGCTAGTGTGAAGGAGGAATATGAAAAAGTGTCCATCCTCATGCAGACAACTGGTAGCTGCACAATTCCCCACATGAACTGCTCTTATTCTCCAGATATAATGCTTCTCCTCAGCTCCCAGTCAAAGGCAAATGAGAATCGTTTCAGGAGTCAGGTCTGTCCTTCCAGTGTCTCATATCGAAACAGGGGAAGAGAAGGTTGTGGACACTTTGAAGAGCCTTCTGACGAGAATACAGATGTTAAGAGTAAAAGCAATATGCACCACTTGTCAGTCAAGGCACGAGCAAAATCTAAAGACTTTGGAACCCAATTTCATCATAACTTGAGAGTCTCCAAATGAAAAGACATTATTTCAGAGTAATTTTGATGAAGGCCTTATTTTCCTGTTAATTACAAAATAATTTTTATATTTTGTTACTTCTGCAAACAGATAATATGACAGCTTTGGATCTCACATACCAAATCAGTACAATATATCTTTATTATACAGAGCATGAATTGACTGGAAATCAACATTTACTAAAATACAATATTCTCTCCAATATAATGGTTTCTGTAATTTCTGTCATTTATATAAATAGGAACATGTAAAACACTTCAGTTAAAATGTAAAAGCACAAGAAGAAGTTTGCATAATGCTTATCATACATGTAATAAGCATGTTTAGCACATGGCATAGAAAGGCATTCTAATACTGAGTAAGGAATTCACCATAGTCAATGTGTGTTGTGGAAGGAATGTAACACATTTCTCAGGCAACCAGAGAACATTGTGCAATACTTATCTCTTGTACTAGCCTTTGTACAGCCTTTTTCCATTCTAAAATATGAAATGCTTCTCTTTCATGGAAACAGCTACAAAATTTTTCTCAATCCACATATTGGTTTTACAGCAGTAAAACTGCTTTCATTGGAAGTATTATATTGTACAGTTCCACTTACCCTAAACAGTTCTTTGATAATCTCTTGTCAATACCATAACAAGATATCCTTCATCCCAAAAAGAACTAAACAAAATTCCTTTGTAAACACCGTTATGCCAGTACAAAAGTATTCCCATAATACTAAACTTTGACTTGAACTCGTGGCTGCTAGTGGGTGGTAGGTCATTGTGTAGCCTGAGTCTATAGCCAAGACCTGATGCTGAGCCTGTGGGAAAGGAATGTCTTGTACAAAGATCAGTGCTAATTTCATGATTAATATATCAAGTGATTTGGATGATAGGTAATTTTCATCAAAGACTTGAAATTACATTTATCATAGTGCTCCAGGATATCTTAACACAGCGTGTTAATTTTGACATATTTTCTCAATTTAGGCTATATATATGTATTCCCTGTGTTACTCATTCATTGCACACATGTTAAGTTTAGCCATTTTTTTCCTGTGGAGGTAGATTCAAGTTGTGCTCACAGAGGTTTTAAAGATTAAAAATCTGTATATAATTAAACCTGACTATTTTAGCTCACTGTAAAGAGTTCCACTTTTGAATAGAGCAGCCCAGAGGCCTCTTTCCTAATCAATGAAGACACTTTAGTGACAATTCTGACCCTTGTTATACACAGCAAAATGTGCCTGTCTTTACCTTCTGAAGAGCTACTCTGAGGGAATGGGTGTAGTCCCTGAAAGCATTTTGTTCATCTTCACTCAGAGCTCTTGTATAGATTACCCAAAATGGGCTATGGTTTTAGGGGAGAATAAAAAAAACTATTGTACAGGGGAAGGCAGTTACTGTTAAACTTATCCAGAGGAAAATAATGCCACAAAACCAAAAAGACCAAAGAACACAAACATTTAAATAGACAGGCAAGTCTTAAAGAAATCTATAAATGAAAATGTTGATCTATTGCAGTTACCTATGCTACATTAGCTGTAGGACTGATTAGTTAATTACGGTGAACATTTGCACATCTATGAAGTCCAGAAGTGTCTAAGGGCAGGATCAGATGTACACTGCTTCTGCTGTAGAACTTCACTTTGCTGGTACACGCACAGAAGCCGTTGTTGTCAGTAATACAGAAAAAAGACTGATAATTTGTTGATGTCTAGGAGTTAGCACCTTGGTTTCCAAATCAAAGAATTAGGACCCAGGAACTCCTGACTTCCAGCTTTTACCTGACTGCCTTGTGGAATGACAGCTGTGTTCTCTGCCTTGTCTCCTGTTGCTGGAAAAGGGGATGTTTTTCTTCCTACCTCACAGGGATGTTGTGAGGAATAAGAAGCTAAAGTCTGTGGAAGAGGTTGTTTGTTACTCTTCAGCTTGGGGATCACACTTGATCAAGAGTGTGGAAGAGTACTTGAAGACTGTCATACGTGTTGTACGTTTGAGTTCTGTGTCTTACTTGTTTCACTGTTAATGCAAGAGAGCAAAAGTACATGGTGCTGAAAATTGGGGATAAAAGAACAGGCTCTGTCCATATACAGCAATGATGCTGTAGCAACAGGAGACAAGATTTGTGTGTCACATGTGAATTTTTATATCTTGAGGACAAAAGATTGTGGAAAAATACTGGTGTTTCTATGAAAATGTCAAAAGTCCACACAAGATAACTGCAACAAGCTTTGAATCCACTTTTTAAATTCATTTGTTAAGCAAATAAAAATTAAAGCACTCCTAAGTATTTCCCTCTCTGTGGGCACAAGTGTGGTTCACAGGTAAGGTATACTTTGAGCAGTAGTTGCAATAGTCAGTATTGCAGGGATTAAGGTTTATTGGGACTGAAATAATTCCCTGCTTGACAGCACTTCACACACAAGGACAGTTGATACTCCTTGTCCTAGAGAAGATAATGATTCTACTATATTATCACATTGGACTTTGTTTTATCTTTTATTGATTTTTTTGTCCCTGAAAAAAGAAAAATAAAAAACATAGAAAACATAGCTGTGCTGTAAACTCTGCAAACTAAACATCAAATTCCTTCCTATGTATTTGCAAAACAATCAATAAAGTAAAGGTTTAAAATTGCAGGTTTTGTCTATTAATTTGTCTGTTACCATTTTTTGTGGTGTTCTGTTCTGCTTTTGGGAGAAGTAAAAGTTTGGCTTGTGTTCATACCAGCATGTCATACCTCAGCACATAGCAAAATGTCCAGGTCTTGTATGTATGTGGATGGGTTTGATAAACAGAAATAATGAAGCTCAAAAATCAGTTAATGGCTGGATTCTACATGTTTTCTCTTCTCACTGATGTCTCTGTTGGGTCAATCTCAAACATAATTATCACATTCATTTTCGAAATGAGTTGTTTTTCAATCAAGTTAAATAATGGACTGCATATGTAGTCCTTAGAGAAGAGATTTTTTACCTTTTGATTAAAACTGCTGTAGAACTGATCACATTTGAGATGTTAATCATCGATGTTAGCGTGTGGCTGCACTCTGAAAATTGTACTAGATGACACATGAAGACAAATTCCATTAACCACCTACTGAATGATAAAATAGATGATTGCAAAGGGATGAAAATGTCTGTGTCTAGTGGGGTCATCCTTCCATACCTGTCATAAGGTCATGCGTAAATGTGTCATAGATTCGTTTTCTCTTCAAAATCATCAGAAAGCAGGTTGATAAATGTGAAGAAAAATGTTTATAGAATCATTAAAAAAAAACCTGATGTTTTTCTCTGAAATGAAGCTCTTCAGTAATTTATATGTGTGGTCAAAATCCAACATCCCTGTGTAGGAGGCTACAAGGTAAGTGCCAAATCCTGGAGATAATATAGCAATCTTGCAGCTCTGAAATCCACTCATACAAATGCGGAAGGTTATGTTTTCCTTGACAAGAGGAGAAAGTTAGTTACAGGTATATCTTAGAAGTTTTGTGGTACCTTATATGTCTTCCATTTTACCTATTGTGCCGGTTTGGATTTGGGTAGAATTAATTTTTTTCACAGTAGCTGGTATGGGGCTGTGTTTTGCATTTGTGCTGAACACAGGGTTGGTAACTCAGGGATGTCTCTCTCATCCGGAGCAGTGCTTACTCAGGGCCAAGGCCTTTTCTGCTCTTCATCCCACCCCACCAGTGAGGAGGCTGGGGATCACAGGAATTGGGAGGGTACTCAGCAAGGAGATAATTTCTTTGCTGCACAGCAGTAGTCTTCTGAGAGCAGAACCCCTCTTCTGCACATAGCCATCTGCTTCTGGAGACCTGGGATCTTAACATACCCATTCCACGCTATGTTTGGCAGCTTTAAGTGAAAGAATTTCAGAGAACAACAGGATGGGGAAGGAATTCCTTTTCTGAATATAGTTACATAACATCAGGTGTTGAGGCTCCAGCAAAGGTAAAGGTACCTATTGTGTTTGTGTTATGAAAACTTGCTGTGTCTGGTTCACATGTTTATGTACACATTTAGAAGAAGTAAGGGCATGGGAGAAATCCTTGCCTTCAAGGTGATTGGGTTCTCTATGTGCCTCCCATGATACTTTCTATAGATTGTATTTTATTGGTGTAATGGCTTCCAGAAACAACCAGAACATGACTTATTTGTGGGAACAGTAGAGTCTAAAACTAGAATTTTTATTTCCATGTTCTTAAAACAGTTGTCCAGAGAAAAACTGTTTAATTTGTGTAAATCTTGGATAGATTATTAGACTGCAGCTGCTGTAGTGCTTTTGGGCATTGCCCCTGGGGCTATTGCACAGGTGAGAAATGCTGCCCTTGGTACAGTGCAGATCATCATGCTTCTCTCAAACCTGTACCTGTATGAGGTTCACAAGCCAGTGTCCACCCACCTGGCTGCTAAAGGGTCTCAACTTGTACTTAGGTTTGTGCTGTTTTCAACATAGAATTGGCACAGTCCCAGCTCATTTGAAAAACTGTGATGATGTTTCTTTTCCTGTATTAACTCAGCAGGGAGTTTTTGCAAAGGTTCAGCTCCTAACCCTGACCAGTAGGATTCAAAGTACATCTTTCTTATCCCAGGAAAACACCTAACCAGCCATGCTGCTGGGGGAGCTGGGTGAGGGAGCTGCTCCAGAGAACAATGTCTTCTTCAGCGGAAAGGATGACAAAAGCCACAAGGCTGTGAATGAAGTCAAGAAGGAGCAGGAAATGTTCATGTAGTGTGCATTTGCCCAGCAGTGGCAAGACTTGAACTGTCCTTCAGAGGATGGGTCTTCTCTTAATAACATGTGCTTTCAGTTGGGCAAGCAACTGACTTCCCCTCCTTTCTGTCTGTCCCATGTGTAGGCACCTACTGCAAGGTGTTCCAGGGCAAGCAACAAAACTGGGAAGTCTCTTAAAGAACTGGCAGGTCAAGCAATATACTGCCATGGCACCTCAGCACAGTACAGAGAGGGATCTTCCCTTTTAAGATTGGTTTGTCTTAATGAATCAAATTTGTTTGTAGATGCCCATGCTAATGACTTCTATTATTTGAATAAATTCCTAAATATTCCCTTTGGTTTTGTAGCTGGAAACTACATACTACACAGGTAGAAAAGGGAACTGAAAACTTCTCTAAATGCAGGGAAAACCTGTTTCAAGAAGAGGAAAAACTGCAGCCCGGAGGAGAATTGGTTTGCAGAAACTGAACAAAAACAAACTTATATGAAAAGCAAACACATGTTACCACTCAAAAAACAAAGACAAGCTACAGAAGCAACACATTCATTGCCACTTAAGAAAGTGTACATTAATGTAATACAAATTCAATCTCACCTGTTTAAGCAATGAGCGAATAAAGACTATTAATTGGATCTGATGCCTATATGCTGGAAAGTCATGGTTCTCGTACCTGTTTAAAAATTTTGGCTGTATGAGCAATTAACACTATCACTCAGATTTGTCCAAAAAACAAGGCAAGCTATGTGATGCTTGCCTTGTTTATAGCAGGCAAGGCTGTCATGTCCAATAATATCCCTAAAAATACAAACTTCAATCAGTCACTCTGGCTTTCCATTCATGTTTGTTTAATTCCATCTTGCATTTTCTCCAATAAAATCTATCACCCATGCTTTCCTCTTTCTGGCACCTTACTAATCCTAAAGAAGTAGGTCCCTCTGCTTAAGGAAGACTGCTCAAATTTAATCCGTTTTCCTGCTTGTCTGGACTTGTTCTTAGGAGAAGGAGAGGAAGTAGTAGTGTGTGTGCTGTGTTCTGCTGAACCATGCCAGCAGGGGAGCTGAGACCAGAATAGCAGAGCGGACATCACGGGCAGAGATGGTGCTGGGGAATGGTGTTAGAGAGCCACTGCTGAGCATCAGCACCTTGGGTGTTCTGGCCAGTTTCTAATGCACTGCCATCACACATCTGTCAGAAAAAAACACCAGACGCATGGTAAGTTCTCTCTGTTTTTAATTTTATTTCAACTTGGAGATCACATGGCTGGTCTGTTTGAAAAATTAAAATAATGAACTCCAATGAAGAGGATGAATCTAAGCGAAGAGTCAGTGACTTGGTCACCCAAGCCCTGGTCATCTTCCTGACTGCTATGCCCACTGGGGCAAGAAGGAAGACATCGGGCTTGAACATGGCTCTTCTCAGATCATAGATGCTTGTCTTTATACAGTGGTGGGGGACAGGGCTGAGAAAGGCTCAGGATTTCTTTGGAACAGAAGGCAGGAGCTGAAATCTGGGACTGAAATTGCACAAACCCATTTTTCTGTCCTGCATGGCAGAACCACTGCTAGAACTCTCAGTTCCACCAGGGGATGCTTCTCATTGTAGAGCTAATATTTCTTCAGGATTTCAGGCTGGTATTGCTGATTTTCTGCTGCCGTATTGATTAATACCAACATTTTCAGATTCCTGTCTTCTTCAGGCAACCTTTGGCCTGGAAAAGGATAAAAATTAAAAAAGCCAACTGCATACATCTGCTAGCTCTAAAACTGAAGGATGGTGAAATTATTCTGCAACAGTATATCCATATTCTCATTAGAGCAATTCAGCATTTTTAGGACACGTTAACTGCTGCAGCAAGAGAAGAAGAAGCTGAAGATCAATATAAAATAAACCACAGCTTCACAAAAGCCAATTTATAATTTCCAAAGTACTTTTCCTCCATTGTGCAGGAAAGTCATCACTGGTACACCAGTGGGACAAAGTTACAGAGAAAGCCTTGGACCACTTTGGGTGTGGAGTTGCAAAACTCATCCAATCTGAAAAAAACATCGCCATATTGTAATGACAAAAGCCTGAACATAACCTGTCACAGAGAAACCGAGAAAGGGGTATGATCACCGATAACTTCAGTTCAAAAGTAGAGAGGTCACAGCTGTTAATTAATTATCCAAATCACCCCTGAGTATAACTCTTCCAAACAAGCTTTCTGACCTATTGCAAAACAATCCCTCTGAGAAAGCAGCAACATGAGACCTTTTTTCCATGGGGATTTTAGCTTTACAACAGACTATTTTCACAGTGGAGCTGAAAGGGGTAGAGAGACCAGGGAGCAGCACCATGACATCATGGCACTGCTGGTCCTGGGGCAGCAAACCCACCTACCAAAGTCATGATTCCTGGCTCTTGATTTGGATGGGATCCTCTTTGGGGTGATCTCTACAAGTACATGTATTGTTTAAACATATCTTCAAATTTAATCAGATTTAAGTGTGCATTTGTGGGCCTCCAGGAGCACCTCGAGGAGCGTGAGCTTAGAGGTGAAGGTCAGAGGAAGTCAGACAACAGGCATTGTGACCTGAGAGGGCATTTTGGCTCCAGCAGGGCATGGCCAGGCAGGACCCACCAGCAGATGGGGAATCAGCAGTGTGTGCAGGACGCACTGCTCTCCCGGGAAGGGGGGAGAGGAAAGCTGGAAGTGCTGTGCAGTGCAGGTCTCTCCATGCTGCCAGTTCCCATCTCCGAGTCTGGCTGAGGCCATGCTAAGCTGCGTGACGTGAGCAGACCCTTCAGCCTGCTTTGCAGAGATTTCATGTCTTTTCCCAGATGCTGAGTGCTGAGCCCTTGCTGAGATGGACACATGAAGGCTTTCTGTATACTGAATAGTGCTTCTGACATGACAAATTT